AGAAGAGGAATTACATATAAAGATTAGTTGAAAGTTTTTATGTCACATATGTTCTTTACGTCGGACTACTAAATTGATCCGTGCTAATTAGTATGCATTACTTCTTTCTTCTAGGACGTGTTGCTTCTGCAGTCAAGGCCCCTGGACAATTTTCCCTCTCTTTCCGACCTCCCCCATTTTTGAGTAGCCTAGAGTACATCACATCTAAATTACATGCATAAATTTCTTCAATTTCCATTTAAAATAGAAATGTCTGCTACCTTTTTATTGTCATTTCAGTATTCCTAAATTTCCCATCAAGTGATTTGCATTTTTTCAGAAAGAAAAAAAAACAACTCTAGGGCTCAATCTTAATGATATATAGGATTAACCTCAAAAATGCTAATTAATCAGCGTATGCAATATTTCAAGTTACAAAATCAGACATAAAAACTTACTTTCTTTGAATAAAAGCATCCTTGTAGTCGCGATCTGGGATCTATGGTCAAAATATTTTGGTCAGGAGAGCAGACAAAGTTTGTACTCCTTAATGCTTATTTTTTACGTTTTGTACATTTCGCTACATTTTGAAATCTTTTAAAGGGAATTGAAAAATTTTCGCGCACAATTAAAAAATTCTTTAATTCAAAGACAATTCATAGTAAAAAAAATTACTTTTAGTAAATATTTATTGTTTTCCTTCATTATTTTATTTAATAATAGTCAAAGAATTTTTGAATTTTAAGGTGATCATTATTTTAAAGAATGTAATTTTACGTGGCAAAATAAGCGAAATTAGTCGAGTAGTTTCTGAGAAATCAAAACTTAAAAAAGTCGTAGTTTTAGTAGTAAATTTACATTAACGCACTGTACATCTATGACTTTTCGGAAGCCGTGGTGGCTCAGAGGATAGAGCGCTCGCCTTCGATTGAGATGAAACGGGTTCGAATTCCAGCGATGACTGGTCCATTCGAATTCAGCACCTGGCTTGTACTGACCACAGTGCTAACGTAAAATATACTTTAAGAAAGAGATGGATCAGGGGTTAGAGTCCCTGTCCCGTCAAAATAAGAGTGAGAGATTTTCATTGTTTTCCTCTCCATGTAACGCAAATGGAGGTTAGTTTCATCAAAAAGTCCTCTTCGAAGGTAAATTTCTCCCAATACTCGATCCAGGAGTTCCCTTGTCTTCCAGATTGGGTTCAAAATTACAAGGCTATGGAGTTGAACATTAGTTGTCGTAAACCCAAAAAATTGGGTCAACTGTTCAAAGACGGTTATAAAAATTTATAAAATAAAATATGTTCACTGGAGCCGTGATGGTTCAGGGGATAGAGCGTTCGCCTTCCAATGAGGTAAAATCGGGTTCGAATCCCTGCGGTGACTGGTCTATTCGAATTCCGCATCCGGCTCGCACCGACCACAGTGCTGACGTATAATATCCTCAGTGGTAGACGGATCATGGGTTGGAGTCCCCTTGTCGTCATGCTAACCGTAGGAAGTCTTCCCGGTTTTCCTTTCCATGCTACGCAAATGCGGGTTAGTTCCATCAAAAGAGTCCTCCACGAAGGCAAATTTCTCCCAATACTTGATCCAGCAGTTCCCTTGTCTTCTGGATTGGGTTCAAAATTACAAGATCACGGAGTTGAACATTGGTAGTCGTAAACCCAAAATTGAGTCGTCTGCTCAACGATGGTTATAACATGACTTTTCGGGAATGATATATTCCACGCGATGAATTTATCGACGAAGTTTCTGGATCGAACAGTTCCGCTCCAACAGGCCCTTCGAACCTTTTCCACCCTTCCTTACCCCACTTTCCCCTAAAATAAAGTCAAAGTAAAAGGATGGAAGGTGAAACACGCGGAAATTAAATAGCAAACAGTATTTCTCTCACCGCCAGATGGCGCGACGGTCTCATTTGTTGAGATCGATTCTCCTCTTCCCAAATCCTTTCTCATTGTGTTTTTATGATACCTGGACACATCAGGTAGAACATGTGAGTAAATTCTTTTCCTTCTCTTAACCCTTCTGCATGTTGGTTCTTAACATGTGCTGCTCCCTTTGCAGGTAGGAAAAAGATCTCCGTATTTAGAGCTCTCTACCCCTTTCCCCCTACATCAGGGAATGGAGGAAGATCTCCTTTTCGCTAAAAAAGAGGGGTTCTATTTTCTTAGAACTTGCGGGAGAGTTTAAAGTTACGAGAGAGAGAAAACGTCCGGTATGTTCCGTCAAGTGTTGACCTTGGAAGAAATGGGATTGAAACTGTTAAACCACTGAATTAAGAAATATCGATTGGGGCATTTTTACCGATTTTATTTAGGTGGGGGGTTTTATGCGTCCTTTTAAATTGTGTTCGAAAGGAAATTGATTTTATATAGATTTATGAATATGTGTGTTTTCTTATATTACAGTTAAAATTGAACTGAAAATACATGAAGAAAGAACCCTCTTAT